ATCCCAGCTGGAATGGCCCAGATCCTCTATGGCGAGGTGCTGATACTCCACAACTTGCTGGTATCCCCAGATCCTGAGCAGTCCAAGTGAGAGAACTTTAGTAGTGGCAGGACCGTGCGGGCAGATATGGGGGGAGGGATGATTGGGAGGGTCAATGCTGACTCCAGTTCTCTTTCCAGTCCAGCTCTCCTTTTCCGGTAGCATCTTGGTGCTATTAATCACTGGCCCCAAATATAGACTTCCCTTCAGTAAAACTTTGGCCTCTCCACTCCTGCTGTTTTCCTGAAGGTCTTGATCCAGAAACGATGTGATCAGAGTCTATTCTCAGTTACACCAGTGTAACTCCAGAGTAACTCCACTAGCTACTCCGGATTTACAGTGGTGTAACTGAGCCCCCTATGGGCTTGGGGTTGTGAAATAACCCTGAAACCACTGTTTAACTGAAGCTGGTGGACCTAATTTGGAACTCATTCATATCACAGGCCTGATTTACATGTTATTTCAGCGTCAGGGATACAGAGATTGTAAGCTCTCTGGGGCAGGAATTATCTCTTTGTTCTATGTTTGTACAGCCCCTTGCGCAGTGGGGTTCTGGCCTATGACTGTGGTCCTAGACTCTGCTGCAATACAAATAATAATAATTATCATAATAATGGTCACTCTGAGAGGAAGGATCATCTTGTGGTGAAAACGCTGGCCAGGGGCTTCAAAGATCTGGGTTCAATTTCCTGGCCCTGTCACAGGCTCCGTGTGTGATGCACAACGCTCCAACAGACCCTGATTCTCATTTAGACTGGGAGCACTTAACACAGGGGCGGGCAAACATTTTGGCCTGAGGGCTGTCTCGGGTTTCAGAAATTGTATGGAGGGCTGGTTAGGGGAGGGAGTCGTGGCCCATCCCCCACCCCCTATCTGCCCCCCCCCCCAGGACTCCCATCCAACCCCCCCATTCCCTGATTGCCCCCCCAGGACCCCTGCCCCCCCCGCTCCCTGTCCCCTGACCACCCCTGAAACCCC